AGTGAAATCCTATCTCTACTAAAAATACAAAAAAAATTAGCTGGGCATGATGGCACATGCCAAATGCTGGGAGGCTGAGGCAGGAGAAACACTTGAACCTGGGAGGCAGAGGTTGTGGTGAGCCGAGATCAGCCATTGCACTCCAGCCTGGGTGACAAAGCAAGATTCCATCTCAAAAAAAAAAAAAAAGAAAAGAAAAGAAAAAACAATCTTATAATCCTTTGGGAGGTTGAGGCAGAAGGACTACAGGCATGCACCACCACGCCTGGCTAATTTTTTAAATTTTTAGTAGAGACAGGGTTTCTTCACGTTGGTCAGGCTGGTCTCGAACTCCCAACCTCAGGTGATCTGCCTGCCTTGGTCCCCCCAGGTGCCATTGCACCTGGCCTTTATATTTATTTTTTTAGAGACAGGGTCTTGCTACATTGCTCAGGCTGGACTTAAACTCCTGTACTCAAGTGATCCTCCCAACTCAGCATCCCAAGTAGCTGGGACTAAAAGTACTCACCACGACACATGGCTCAATTATAAATTTTCTTAGATTATGATAGTATTATAGGCATGTCAGTGAATCTCCCATCCTTAGAGAGGTGAACTGAAGTTGTTAGAGATAAATTGTCATGATAGCTATAACTTACTCTGAAGTAAATATGCAAAATGTTAACTGATAAATTTAAGCTAAGGGTACAGATGTTTGCTATACTTACCCTTTCAACTTTTCTGTAGGATTTAACCCTTCAACATAAAAATCAGAGAAAAAAGGAGCCCAAAAGAAAAATAAAATATATAGCCACTCCTTTTTATTTTCTTTTTTACTGAAAATTTTACCAAATGTAATTCTTTAAACATTCATTTTTGGCTCACTGCAGCCTCAACCTCCTGGGCTCAAGTGATGCTTCTGTCTCAGGCAATAGGTATGCACCACCATGCGACACAGAGCGAGACTTTGTCTCAAAAAAAAAAAAAAAAAAGTAGGCCAGGCATGATGGTTCACATCTATAATCCCATGTCCACAATTCCAGCACTTGGGAGGCTGAGGTAGGAGAACTGCTTGAGTCCAGGAGTTTCAGACCAGCCTGGGAAACACAGTAAGATCCTTTATCTACAAATAATTTTTTTAAAAAACTGGCCAGGTATGGTAGCGCATGCCTATAGTCCCAGCTACTTGGGAGACTGAGGCAGAAGCATTGCTTGAGCCCAGAAAGTGGAGGCTACAGTGAGTCATGATGGTGCCCCCAAACACTAGCCTGGGTGACAAAGTGAAATCCTGTCTCAAAAAAACAAAGCAAACAAACAAAAAAACAGAAAATAATAAATTTTAGCAAGGATGTGGAGAAACTATAACCCTTGTGCACTGTTGGTGAGAATGCAAAAGGTGGAACTGCTATGTTCCTCAGGAAATTATCAATAGAATGACACAGCAATTCCACTTCTAAAAAAGAAAAAGAACTGAAAGCACAGTCTCAGATATTTGCACACCCATGTTCATAGCAGCATTATTCACAACAGCCGAGGGATGGAAGCAAACCAAATATCCACTGATAGATTAACAGACAACAAAATGTGGTATATCCATACAATGGCACACTATTCAGCCTTAAAAATGAAGAAATCGTGTCACATGTTGTAACATAAATGGAACTTAAAAACATGATAAAATGAAATAAGCAAGTCATAAAAGAGTTAATGCTATATGATTCTACTTAGAATAGCTTAATTCATAGAGACAGAAAGTAGAATGGTAACCGCCAAGGCCTAGAGGTAAAGAAGAAAAAGGAGTTGTGGTTTAGTGGGTACAGAGTTTCAGATTTGTAAGATAAAGTTCTGGGTCAGGCACAGTGGCTAACATCTGTAATCCCAGCACTTTGGAAGGCCAAGGCAGGCGGATCACCTGAGGTCAGGAGTTTAAGAACAGACTGGCCAACATGACGAAACCCCGTCTCTACTAAAAATACAAAAATTAGCCGGGTGTGGTGGTGCCCACCTGTAGTCCTAGCTGCTCGGGAGGCTGAGGCAGGAGAATTACTTGAATCCAGGAGGTGGAGGTTGCAGTGGGTAGAGATTGTGCCACTGTACTGCAGCCTGGGTGACAGAGCAAGACTCTGTCTCAAAAAAAAAAAAAAAAAAATTCCAGGCTTGGTGGCTCACGTCTATAATCCCAGTGCTTTGGGAGGCTGAGGCGGGTGGATCACGAGGTCAGGTCAGGAGTTAAAGACCAGCCTGGCCAAGATAGTGAAACCCTGTCACTACTAAAAATACAAAAATTAGCTGGGCGTGGTGGCAGATGCCTGTAATTCCAGTTACTCAGGAGGCTGAGGCAGAGAACTGCTTCAACGTGGGAGGTGGAGGTTGCAGTGAGCCGATATTACACCACTGCACTCCAGCCTGGGTGACAGAGTGAGACTCTGTCTCAAAAAAAAAAAAAAAAAACACACACACACACACGCCTAGAAAATAACTGAGTTTGGGGTGGGTTCTGTGGTTTAATGAGATTATGCCAAACATTTTTTAAGATGTTTGGCTGGTCCAAAGGTAGTTATCTCAGTTGATTGTTCAGTGTCAGTAACAGATTCTTGTTCTTCTCTTTCCCCAGTTCTCACTACTGCACTTGACTAATCTAAAAAATAATAATACATAAAAATAGGCTAGGTGCAGTGACTTACGCCTATAATCCCAGCACTTTGGGAGGCCGAGGTGGGTGGATCACTTGAGGTCAGGAGTTCAAGACCAGCCTGGCCAACATAGTGAAACGCTGTCTCCATCAAAAATTACAAAAATTAGCCAGGCGTGGTGGCACGAACCTGTAGTCCCAGCTACTCAGGAAGTTGAGGTGGAAGAATCACTTGAACCGGGGAAGTAGAGGTTGCAGTGAGCCAGGATCGTACCACTGCATTCCAGCTTAGATGACAGGGTGAGACTCTGTCTCAAAAAAGTAAAATAATACATAAAAATAGGCTAGGCGCAGTGGCTCACACCTGTAATCCCAGCACTTTGGGAGGCCGAGATGGGTGGATCACAAAGTCAGGAGTTCTAGATCAGCCTAGCCAATATGGTGAAACCCCATCTCTACTAAAAATACAAAAATTAGCTGGGCACGGTGGCACACACCTGTAGTCCCAGCTGCTCAGGAGGCTGAGGCAAGAGAATCGCTTGAACCCAGGAGGCAGAGGTTGTAGTGAGTTGAGATCATGTCATTGCACTCCAGCCTGGGTGACGGAGAGAGACTCTATCTCAAAAAAATATATAAATATTTAAAAATTAAAAATAAATAAAAAATAAAAATATCCAATTTCGTCTCTTCTGGGTCTTTGTAGTCAGAAAAAAAGATTTTCAATGTTAAATGTCAGAGCTTTTTGGGTTTCAGAGTTGTGGACTAGTTTTTTTTTTTTTTTTAAAAACAAAGTATCCATAGATACTTTGTTTACACAGGAAAGGGAAAATAAAAATTAAAAAAATAAAAATGTATGGATACATAGGAACATTTAAAAACTGGTTACTATGGGATGAGGGGCAGGGAGCTAGGAGGGCAGGTGCTGGGTATCCTTTTCCATCTCTTCAAAAATGCTTCTTTTGGAAACGGAGTCTCACTCTGCCGCCCAAGCTGGACTACAGTGGCACCATCCTGGCTTGGCTCACTGCAGCCTCGACCTCTGGGCTCAAGAAATTCTCTCACCTCAGCCTCCCAAGTAGTGGGGACCACAGGTGTATGCCACCATGCCCAGCTAATTTTTATATTTTTTGTAGAGTTAGGATTTTACCATGTTGCCTAGGCTAATCTCAAACTCTGGGACTGAGGTGATCAGCCCACCTCAGCCTCCCAAAGTGCTGGGATTACAGGTGTGAGCCACTCTGCCGGAAAAAGCTTTTTGGTTTTGGTTTTTGAGAGACAGGCTCTTGCCATGATGTTCAAGCTGCAGTGCAGTGACATGATCTCACTACTCATCAGCATGGGAGTTTTGACCTGGTCCATTTTCAACCTGGGCCGGTTCACCCCTCTTTAGGCAACTCTGCTCCAGGAACGTGATCATTTTGATGCCAAATTGAGTGTGGACACCCCATTGTCATGGCACACTGCAGTCCAAAACTCCTGGGCTCAAGAGGGGCTGAGAGGGTGCGCCCAGGGGATCCCATAGGCTTTGCAGCCTCTGGCCATCCTCTCCTGAACAGGTCCTAAGCCCCCTGCAGTGGGCCCTCAGCTCTCCTCCCCTACCTACTGTCCTGTATTTTTTCTTTTTTTTTTTTTTGAGACGGAGTTTCGCTCTTGTTACCCAGGCTGGAGTGCAATGGCACGATCTCGGCTCACCGCAACCTCCGCCTCCTGAGTTCAGGCAATTCTCCTGCCTCAGCCTCCTGAGTAGCTGGGATTACAGGCACGCGCCACCACGCCCAGCTAATTTTTTGTATTTTTAGTCGAGACGGGGTTTCACCATGTTGACCAGGATGGTCTCGATCTCTTGACCTCGTGATCCACCCGCCTCGGCCTCCCAAAGTGCTGGGATTACAGGCTTGAGCCACCGCGCCCGGCCGTATTTTATCTTAATGCTTATTAAAGGTCTCAGCTGAATTTCCCTGGTGAACTCAAAGAACTCTGCTTCCCCTGGACACATCTACACCAAGCCACTACTGGGTCACATTCTTCATAAACTCTTTCTGGAGACAGAAGGCACTTAAACCATACATATTTTGCCTGACGGTTCCTAACTTAAAAAAAAAGAGAGAGAGGGAAAGCGAGAGAGAGAGAGAGAGAGAGAGAGAGAGAGAGAGAGAGAGAGAGAGAGAGAGAGAGGCAGGCCAAGCCAAGCCCAAGAGACAGGATGGCTGAAAGAAATGAACTCTAAGACCCCTTCAGCCTCTCATACTTGTTGACTAAGTCATCACCACAAGGAGCTGGGGAGGCTCTGAGGCGAGCAGGAGACCAGCCGCTGTCACCACCAGTACCTTTATCAGCAGAGCCAGGATTATCTGTGTTATTTTCTAACAGACAATTCTAGTGAAATCACCTGAAGTAATCGCAGGATGCAGCCAGCAGGATGCGATGGGCCTCGATGTGTCTGCCCTCTACCACCAGTACAACATCGAAGAGGATCCCGCTGTCCCGGAGAGCTAGCAGCCCTCGGAGCAAGGCCTGGGAGTGCTGTGCACTTCGGTAGGTGTTGTTCACGCAGTGTGGGTGGGAGGGCTGCGCAGGCAACTTGCAGAGCTGGGTGAACTCCTGCTCCTCCGCCATCCTGACAGCCACAAGATCCCTTACCACTGCGGCCTGTCAGCTGGCAAAACAGAGGGGATAGGAGTAAGCAGTCAGGCATCAGCCGCACCACATACAGACTGGCCAGCTCTGTGGCTCCCCTTGCTCCTGTGCCTCCCTCAAGCTCATTTGTTTTCCCTCTGATCCCAAATCTCCTAATTCCCTCTCCCCTCCCACCTCTGGTCCGACTTCCTGATGGCCTTCTTCCTGATGACCTGTGTCCCATCCTGCCCAAGACCCTTCATCCCATTTTATCTTCTTCAGCATCAAAGTCAAACAGAAGGGTTTGGGGAAATAGACTGACCTGGGTTGGAGCCCTACTCCACAGAGACTTAACAACATAACCAACCTGAGCCTGGAGTTCCCCAACTGTAAAGAGAGAGATAAAAGTACCCATCCCGCCGGGCGCGGTGCCTCAAGCTTGTAATCCCAGCACTTTGGGAGGCCGAGGTGGGTGGATCACGAGGTCAAGAGATCGAGACCATCCTGGTCAACATGGTGAAACCCCGTCTCTACTAAAAATACAAAAAAATTAGCTGGGCATGGTGGTGTGTGCCTGTAATCCCAGCTACCCAGGAGGCTGAGGCAGGAGAATTGCCTGAACCCAGGAGGCGGAGGTTGCGGTGAGCCGAGATCGTGCCATTGCACTCCAGCCTGGGTAACAAGAGCGAAACTCCGTCTCAAAAAAAAAAAAAGTACCCATCCCATTGGGACATTCTAAAACTGGTAAAACAATGAATATAAAGCATAAGCACACACCAGGTTCTCAAAGAGTTCTTCTTCCCTCCCATTGAGAATGAATAAAATTAGGTTCTTCCCCACAGCAATGGTTGCATAAAAATGGCAAGACCTGAGTAGTGATCAGGAGACACAGAGCCAGGAGTCTGGGAGGTGGGTGCCAAAGGGTGACATTTCCAGGGCCTACTTCCTTTTACTGAGATTCTGATAGTCAAGCACAGTAACTCTGATTGAACCTGATGCATTTAAATTCATCTGCATTGCCTTCTAAATTAAAGGTTACCTTCTAATAATTGAGTCAGTATGCTCAAAAACTGCAAAGTGATTTGAATAGGTGCCTCAGAAACCTAACCAGTAAAACAAACCTACTGCAAATGCATTTCTGCCATGCACCAACCAAAAGCGACTGTAGACAGCCTCTGCTCAGGTCAGGGAGTGGCTAGTTCCACACTGCAAGGCATGGCCAAGCTGCAGGCTCTGTAGGTACAGCACAGCCAGCTACAAGATATGAACATCTGTCTTCTTCACCTCACTTCAATCTTTCCTCTCCCCAAAATATGTTTATTCTCCAATTACCTCCAGTCATGCATCACTTAACGTTGGGGATATATTCTGAGACATGCATTGCTGGAGGCAATTTCCTCATTGTGTGAGTATCACAGGGTACACCTATACAAATCTACATGGTAGAAACTACTCTACACCTAGGCCATAAAGTACAGCAAATTGCTCCCATGCTACATACTTGTACAGCATGTTTCTGTAGCTCTGAATGAAAAAAATACACTGTTTTTCCTCTCCTCTTATACCACAACCACCAATACAGAAGACTTCTAACCAAATGTGTAAGAGTTTTTCCCCCATTAAGAAGCAAGCAATCAATTCTGCCAGATACCAACTTGGCACTAGGGACCAGTTTCGTTGAAGAGAATTTTTCTAAAGGGTGGGGAATGATTTTGGGATGAAACTGTTTCACCTCAGATTATCAGGCATTAGTTAGATTCTCATAAGGAATGCACAATCTGGACCCCTCACATACACGGTTCACAATAGGGTTTGTGCTAGTATGAGAATCTGATGCCACCGCTGATCTGACAGGAGGCGGAGCTCAGGAGGTAAGGCTGGCTCAACCTCCAGTCACCTCCCGCTGTGCAGCCTGGTTCCTTAACCAGCCACAGACCAGTATAGGTACAGGTCTGGGGGTTGGGGACCCCTGCTCTAATTCAGCTCTAAAACTATCTACCTGGTGACAGTGTCAGATCCCACAAGTTGAGGGCTCAGTCCCCTGGGTTGTTTCACCTGTGCTTCTGACCAACAGGCTATATATTAGGGCTCCCAAGACCCCCTTCTTGGGTTCAATTAATTTGTTAGAGCAACTCACAGAACTCGGGGAAATACTTATGCTTACTGGTTTGTTATAAAGGGTATTACAAAGAACACAGATGAAGAGATGCATGGGGCCAGGCATGTGGGAAGTGGTGCAGAGACTCCAGGCCGTCTCCAGGAACACCACCCTTTAGAAGTCTCCATGCATTCAACTATCCAGAAGTTTTCCAAACCCAGTCATTTTGAATTTTTTTTTTTTTTTTTTGAGACGGAGTTTCGCTCTTGTTACCCAGGCTGGAGTGCAATGGCGCAATCTCGGCTCACTGCAACCTCCGCCTCCTGGGCTCAGGCAATTCTCCTGCCTCAGCCTCCTAAGTAGCTGGGATTACAGGCACGCGCCACCATGCCCAGCTAGTTTTTTTTTTTTTTTTTTGTATTTTTAGTAGAGACGGGGTTTCACCATGTTGACCAGGATGGTCTCGATCTCTCGACCTCGTGACCCACCTGCCTCGGCCTCCCAAAGTGCTGGGATTACAGGCTTGAGCCACTGCGCCCGGCCATTTTGAATTTTTATGGAAGCTTCATTATGTAGGCATGATTGATTAAATCACTGGCCACTGGTGATGAACTTAATCTTCAGTCCCTCTCCCCTCTCCAGAGGTTGAGAGGTGAGGCTGAAAGTTCCAACCCTCTTAACCTGCCTTGGCCTTAACTGTGATCAGCCCCCATCCTGAAGCTACGCAGGGGATGCTGACCAGCATACAAAAAGGCATCACTTTGGAGAGTCCAAAGATTTTAGAAATTGTATGCCATGAAATGAGACAAGACCAAATATATATTTCACAATATCACAGTACTGAATACTAGAGCAATTGTTAACACAATAGTATTTGTGCATGTCAACATAGACAAGGTATAGTAAAAATATGGGACCATCATCCTTCATGTGGTCCAGTGTGTCACTGACTGAAACGTCAATGTGTGGCCCATGATCATACATTTTTAAAACAAAAAATGGCCAGGGATGGTGGCTCACCCCTGTAATCCCAGCACTTTGGGAGGCCAAGGTGGACAGATCACCTGAGGTCAGGGGTTCCAGGCCAGCCTGACCAATATGGAGAATCCCATCTCCACAGAAAATACAAAATCAGCCAAGTGTGGTGGCGCACGCCTGTAATCTCAGCTACTTAGGAGGCTGAGGTAGGAGAATCCCTTGAACCCAAGAGGCAGACGTTGCAGTGAGCTGAGATCACGCCATTGCACTCCAGCTTGGGCAACAAGAGTGAAACTCTGTCTCAAAAAAGAAAAAATGAAAAACAGTAAGTGTATTAGGTGAACGGGAACAAAAAAAAAATAGATGCCAATATAAAACTTACCAAAAAGAATAGGTCTCCTTCACTACTGAGGATCAGGGTCGCCCCCTAACCCACTCCCTGGATGCCCTACTATTTCCCCTCAAACATACTCAGTTACCTATGTCTGTTCCTCACTTTGCCTCCTGGACCTGGGACCTCTACCCACCTATCCACTCATTCCTTTCCCCCTCCCTGGGCTGGCTAATCTTTCTTACCAAGGCCCCAGAGATGGCCAGAGCCAAGGTGTATCCCCTGTGACCACCTCTTATGATTCTCTCTTGCCTGGAAACTCTGCCCTATGATAATTCTCCCTTTTCTGACCCCTCCCTTTCACCTCACACACCCTGCTCCAGCCCACGCTTCTTTCCCAAGGGTTTGCATTCTCAGTTTCACCTCCAGCTCAGTGCCTAGTCTAGCTAGTAGCCCTCCAACTTGTCTAGTTTTGTTATTGGTACAGCTACCATTTCAATGTTGGAAACCTCAATGTCTCAATGATATTTTTTCCTTTCTAACCCACGGGCCCTATGAACACACTAGTTCTGATTCCTTCACCTCTCCTCCATCTCAGACACCCTCTACTCCTCCAGGGCCACAACTCTGGGTCAGACCACAGCAATGATGCCCCAACCAGTTTCTCTAGCTCTTGCCTCATCCTCCCCCCAGCTGCTCTCTTTCAAGCCTAACCTACTCAGCCCCATCAGCAGTCCTTAGTCCAAAAGGGATGCCTGTCATCCCCTGAACACCTTTAGTCACCCCTCTAGGCCATTCTGTTTCTCTTAGTCCCATTCTGATTAAGGTCTAGCTCAATCACTTCTCCCTCTATCGTTGTACAGAGAACATGATGAATATGCCCCACCACTCAAACGTGCCTATTTATCCACCACAAGGAGATTCCAGCTTCTTTTTTTTTTTTTTTTTTTTTTTTTGAGATGGAGTTTCGCTCTTGTTACCCAGGCTGGAGTGCAATGGCGCGATCTCGGCTCACCGCAACCTCCGCCTCCTGGGTTCAGGCAATTCTCCTGCCTCAGCCTCCTGAGTAGCTGGGATTACAGGCACGCGCCACCATGCTCAGCTAATTTTTTGCACCATTAGTAGAGACGGGGTTTCACCATGTTGACCAGGATGGTCTCGATCTCTTGACCTCGTGATCCACCCGCCTCGGCCTCCCAAAGTGCTGGGATTACAGGCTTGAGCCACCGCGCCCGGCCGAGATTCCAGCTTCTTGAGGGCTGAGGCTTTATCTCACAAACATCTCAAAAGCCCCCATGGCTGGCTCCACCACTTGCTAATGTCAGACTCTGGGCACTTGTCTCATATATCCACGCCTCAGCTTCATCACCACCATGACCGCCACAGAGTCAAGAGGGTCTCCTCTGAGGGTGACCTCCACAACTGACTACCCCAACAGACATCAAGCCCCCATGTAGATCCTCACCTTCTGCGAGCACAGTGGCGCCTCTGCTCTCTTGGGAAGGGATAAATGGCAGCTACTCCCTAAACACCTACTGCAAGAACAAGTACAGTCAAACAAAAAGACATCTTCTACGGGCAGGCAAAGCACATTTACCAAGCACAATTTAAGAAACTCAGCGAGGGCTTAAGGGGGACATGCCAAAAAAAATGAACCAATTCTCTGCTGTGAAGGAGAACAGCCCAGAGTGCAACATTTAAAACCACATATATACAGCAAGCACTGGCTATCACCAAAATGTCCACCCTCAGGAGAATGGATGTCATGGCAGTGATCTGACAGAAAGCTAGGCAACAGTTAAAATGTGCAAAGTTGCCAGGTGCAGTGGCTCATGCCTGTAATCCCAGCACTTTGGGAGGCCAAGGCGAGCAGATCACAAGGTCAGCGGTTCAAGACCAGCCTGGCCAACAGAGTGAAACTCCATCTCTACTAAAAATACAAAAAATGGCTGGGCGCAATGGCTCGCACCTGTACTCCCAGCACTTTGGAGGCAGAGGCAGGCAGATCACCTGAGGTTGGGAGCTCGAGACCAGCCTGACCAACATGGAGAAACCCTGTCTCTACAAAAAATACAAAATTAGCCAAGCGTGGTGGTGCATGCCTGTAATCCCAGCTACTTGGGAGGGAGGCTGAGGCAGGAGAATCGTTTGAATCTGAGAGGCAGATGGAGGTTGCAGTGAGCAGAGATCACACCACTGCACTTCAGCCTGGGTGATTGTGCTAGACTCTGGCTCAAAAAATATATATACCCGTGCAAAGTAGCCCAGGCACAGTGCTGTAATTCCAACACTTTGGGAGGCCGAAGCAGTTGGATCACCTGAGGTCAGGAGTTCAAGACCAGCCTGGCCAACATAACAAAACCCCATCTCTACTAAAAATACTTGTCAGCGTGGTGGCATGTGCTTATAATCCCAGCTACTCCAGAGGCCAAGGCAGGAGAATCACTTGAACCAGGGAGGCAGAGGTTGCAGTGAGCTGAGATCGCGCCACTGCACTCTAGCCCTTGAGACAGAGCAAGACTCTGTCTCAGAAAAAAAAAAAAAAAAAAAAAAAGGGCCGGGCGCGGTGGCTCAAGCCTGTAATCCCAGCACTTTGGGAAGCCGAGGCGGGTGGATCACGAGGTCGAGAGAAGAAACCTCGTCTCTACTAAAAATACCAAAAATTAGCTGGGCATGGTGGCGCGTGCCTGTAATCCCAGCTACTCAGGAGGCTGAGGCAGGAGAATTGCCTGAACCCAGGAGGCGGAGGTTACGGTGAGCCGAGATCACGCCATTGCACTCCAGCCTGGGTAACAAGAGCGAAACTCCGCCTCAAAAAAAAAAAAAAAAAAAAAAGGCGGGTGGGGGCCTGGGCATGGTGAGTCACACCTGTAATCCTAGCACTTTGGGAGGCTAAGGCAAGCGGATCAGAAGGTCAGGAGTTCAATACCAAACTGGCCAACATGGTGAAACCCCATCTCTACTACTAAAAAATACAAAAATTAGCTGGACATGGTGGCTCATGCCTGTAATACCAGTGCCATAAGAGGTCAAGGTAGGTGGATATCAAGACCACACTGGGCAACATAGCAAGACCCCTTCTCTACAAAAAAATTAAAAATTATGGCATGGTGGTATACACTTGTAGTCCCAGCTATCTGGGCTGAGATGGCCTGAGGTTCACTGTAGCCTCAAGTTCCCAGGTTGAAGTAATCCTCCCATCTCAGCTTCTTCAGTGCTAGAACTACAGCTCACCACTGTGCCCAGCTAATTTTTCAAATTTTCTTTGTAAAGAAGGGGTTTCACTATATGGTCTAGGTTGGAGTCCAGTGGTGGGGTCTTGGCTCACCGCAGCCTTCATCTGGGTTCAAGCGATCCTCTCAACTCCGCCTCCTGGGTGGCTGTGACTACAGGTGCTAGTTGCCACGCCAGGCTAATTTTTTTATGTTTTGTAGAGATGGGGTCTCCCTACCCATGTTGCCCAGGCTGGTCTCGAATTCCCGGGCTCAAGCGATCCACCCATCTCTGCCTCCAAAAGCTCTGGGGTTCCAGGCATGAGCCACCATGCCCAAGCCCCATTTTCTTTCTTTCTTTTTTTTTTTTTTTTTTGAGATAGGAGTTTCCCTCTGTCTCCCGGACTGGAGTACAGTGGCCTGATCTTGGCTCACTGCAACCTCTGCCTACCAGGTTCAAGGGATTCTCCTATCTCAGTCACCCGAGTAGCTGAGATTACAGGCGGGCCACCACACCCAGCTAACTTTCGTATTTTTAGTAGAGACGGGGTTTCACCATGTTGGCCAGGCTGGTCTTGAACTCCTGACCTCGTGATCCACCCGCCTCGGCCTCCCAAAGTGCTGGGATTACAGGCGTGAGCCACCGCGCCCAGCTCAAAAAATGAATTTTTATGAAGTCATGGATGGCAGAGTCAAAATCATTTCAGAGGAACTTTGGACTCGGACATTTTATTGAGTAAACACCCTGAGTCCCCTGTAGGGCCCCCGGATGAGCAGTGTCCCCCCAAAGAAACTCAATCCCTGGGAGCACGAAGCAAGGTCGACCACAAAGGCAAAGGGGGCGGCTGGGGCAGAGGAGAGGGAGCGGGTCCTTATTCCCAGCGGGGGGCCTTCCGAAGGGTGCGCTCCGGAAGAGTTTCCCGGAGAGCCGACCCCGAGGCCCTCGGCGCGCCCAGAGCGGAGCCCAGGTATCAGGTGGAGGCGCCCCGCCGCCCGCCCCAGATCCACCCGGCTCGGCCCGCGCCGGATCTAAAATGGTCAGAGCTGGCGGCCGACGTTCCGCACTCCGGCAATTTTGCACTGACAGTGCGATCTCCGGCTCCTCTCAGGAAACCGGGCGAGATGGCGAGGCTGGGCTCCTACCGCCCCCGGGCCCGGCCGAAGGAACTGAGACTCGCCAGGCCGGGCCCGAGTCGCCCGCCTGTTGCAGGGCCGCCCGCGCGGCGCGGAGGGTCGCGGCCGGGAAGGCCGCGCTCGGACCGGCCGCGGTCAACAGAGCCGCGCGAGGGCAAGGAGCCCGGCGCGCCCGCCACCGCGCGGAGCAGGCCTCGCACCTCGGCCCCCCGCGCCCGGCCCCTACGCGCCCGGGGATCCCGCCGGCAGCGTCCCCGCCACGTCAGGCCGCTGGCTAGCCTCAGGTCGCCGCCCCCGAGCCTCCGGCCCGCGCCCTCCCCGCCCCCGCCCCCGCGGCCCCCGGACTCCGCGCCGCCGGCTCGCCCCCGGCCCAGCGCTGCCTGCGTGCCGCCCGCCGCCCGCGTTCGCCGCCGCCCGGCCCGCCGGGCCCACGCCTTGCAGCTGACCTGGTGCCGCCGCCAGCCGAGGCCGCACTCGCAGCAGGAGGGAGGAGGGAGGAGGGAGGCGGGAGGCGGGAGGCGGCAGGCGGCGGCGGAGGCGGAGGCGGGAGGCGGGAGGCGGGAGGCGGGGCGTGCGGCGCCTGTGGGGCAGGGCCTCGGCCGTCACGTGGGACCACCGCGCAGGCGCAGGGCGGGCCGGTCGGCGCCCTGCCGGGCAGGGTACCAGCGCCGGGGCGGCGCTCCTCCCGCGCTCTGCTGTCAGTCCCCACGCTAGCGCGGCACCTGGCACCAGGCGGAGACAAACCAAGGAATAAGTGAATTTGCCGAGGGTCGCGGCGTCTGAATCCGTCGACTCTTCCCTTGCCTCGGTCCTGCCCTCATTCTTCGGGTCCCTCCCTCTTGCCCTTCCTCCCAGTCTCTCTCCCTCCTCGTTTCCTCCCTCCCCTTTCCTCCATCCCACCTTCACTCTCTCCTCCCGCCTTTCCCTTCCTCCCTCCTTCACTCAGTCTCTCCGTCCCCGTCTCACTCCCCCATGCCCTCCCTCCCTCATTCCCTTTCCCTCCCTCCTTCCCGTCTCGTTCTCCCCTCCCTGCCTCCGCCCCTCCCTCCCTCTCTCATTCCCTGCTTCCTCCGCCCCTCCTGAGCTCGTTTCCTTCGTCACGCACTCATTCCCTCGCTCCCGCGCCTGCTCCCTCCCGGCCCCCTCCGAGGTCTGCGCGCACCTCCCATAGGCAGTCGCGGCCGCTGGCGGTGGCGCGCCCCCTGCGGGACGTTGGGGAGAATGGCTGGACGCCGCCGCGGTGAACGTGTGTTAGTTTGTGTGCGCATTCCTGAGATTTTGCAATAAATCGAATCCCCAGGGCCGGGCGCGGTGGCTCACGCCTGTAATCCCAGCACTTTGGGAGGCCGAGGCGGGTGGATCACGAGGTCAGGAGATCGAGACCATCCTGGTCAACATGGTGAAACCCCGTCTCTACTAAAAATGCAAAAAATCAGCTGGGTATGGTGGCGCGTGCCTGTAATCCCAGCTACTCGGGAGGCTGAGGCAGGAGAATTGCCTGAACCCAGGAGGCGGAGGTTGCGGTGAGCCGAGATCGCGCCATTGCACTCCAGCCTGGGTAACAAGAGCGAAACTCCGTCTCAAAAAAAAAAAAAAAAAATCTAATCCCCAGTCTTAAAGCCTGGTTCCGGAGGTCCGTGCGGGGCTCTTGGCATTCATTTTTCTCCACCTCACCTCCGAGCAGGTCCCGTCCTCCGAGGCACATCCCTAATGGCTGTGCCCAGAGCTTGGAGCCAGCCTCCTGATAGATGGGATCAGGTTGGAGTGTCCCACACTGTGGATTTGAGACCGACCATGAAGGGTGAGGAGTGATACGGAGAGGATGTGGCTGGAGATGGCTCATGGTTAAAAAGAAATGTGAGGCCGGGCGCGGTGGCTCAAGCCTGTAATCCCAGCACTTTGGGAGGCCGAGGCGGGTGGATCACGAGGTCGAGAGATCGAGACCATCCTGGTCAACATGGTGAAACCCTGTCTCTACTAAAAGTGCAAAAAATTAGCTGGGCATGGTGGCGCGTGCCGGTAATCCCAGCTACTCGGGAGGCTGAGGCAGGAGAATTGCCTGAGCCCAGGAGGCGGAGGTTGCGGTGAGCCGAGATCGCGCCATTGCACTCCAGCCTGGGTAACAAGGTCGAAACTCCGTCTCAAAAAAAAACAAAAAAACAAAAAAACAAAAAAACAAAAAGAGCTTTGGGGAAAATAGCAAAGGGAGTAGTCACTCAATTTTATTGTGATGACAAACTCTTGGCATGGTTCTGGGCCTCTTTCTGTCTTTGTTTGTGAATTATGTGTCTGTGGCTCCATCAACCACAGTGCAGAAGGGGAGAGTTGTCCTAGGGATCCTATTAACATGTTCTCTCTTTTTTTTTTTTTTTTTTTTTTTTGAGACAGAGTTTCACTCTTGTTGCCCAGGCTGCAGTGCAATGGCATGATCTCAGCTCCTTACAACCTCCACCTCCTGGGTTCAGGCAATTTTCCTGCCTCAGCCTCTTGAATAGCTGAGATTACTGGCGCACAGCACCACGCCCAGCTGCTTTTGTATTTTTAGTAGAGATGGGGTTTCACTACGTTGGTCAGGCTGGTCTAGAACTCCTGACCTCAGGTGTGAGCCACTGCACCTGGCCTAACATGTCCTCTTGATTTGGACAAGATAGCCACCGTATTATTCTGAAAGCACCAGGAAATCTAACTAACTTGCCAGAGGGTTTGACAGTGAGGACTGGCTTTGTCAATGAGGTTATGAGACCAATATTTCTCATAAGTTTAGTGAACATAATCTGCAGGACCAAGAATCTAACAAAACATATCTGAAGCCCACATAGAATATAACATGCACCAGCAGTCATACTCTTAAAATGGTTCATAGAGAAATATTTTATTTTTTCACTTTTTTTTTTTTTTTTTTGAGACAGAATCTCGCTCTTGTTGCCCAGGCTGGGTGCAGTGGCACAATCTTGGCCCACTGCAACTTCTGCCTCCCAGGTTCAAGCTATTCTCCTGCCTCAGCCTCCTGAATAGCTGGGATTATAGGTGCCCACCACCAGGCATGGCGGCTAATTTTTGTACTTTTAGTAGCGATGGGGTTTCACCATGTTGGCCAAGTTGGTCTCAAACTCCTGACCTCAGGTGATCCACCCACCTCAGCCTCCCAGAGTGTTGGGGTTATAGGCATGAGCCACCTCACCTGGCCTATTTTTTCACTTTTATTTATTGTTTAGAATCAAGGTCTTGCTCTGTTTCCCAGGCTGGAATGCAGTGGCACAATCATAGCTCTCTGCAGCCTTGAACTCCTAGGCTCCAGCAATCCTCGAATCTCAGCCTCCTGAGTAGCTGGGATTACAGGCATGCACTGCCACACCTGGCTAATAATAATAATAATAATAATAACAACAACAACACTTTGGGGCCTGGCGCAGGGGCTCATTCGTATAATCCCAACACTTTGGGAGGCCAAGGCTGTTGAATCATCTGAGGTCAGGAGTTCGAGACCAGCGTGACCAATGTGGTGAAACCCCGTCTCTACTAAAAATACAAAAATTAGCTGGTATGGTGGCGGGCACCTGTAATCCTAGCTACTCAGGAGGCTGAGGCAGGAGAATAGCTTGAACCAGGTAGGTGGAGGTTGCAGTGAGCCGAGATCACACCATTGCACTTCAGCCTGGGGAACAAGAGTGAAACTCCATCTCAAATAATAATAATAATAATTTTGGGAGTATTAGAGCAGAAAATGTGAACAGCTCTCACATCAACACAAGACCTGAAACCCTGTTGTCAAGAGAGGCCCCTTTGAAGAACCTGGTCACTCTCTCCTCTCCCACCCACTCCCTACTACCATTAACCTTCTGTCTGGGGCACAGTAACAAGGGGTTTACACTGCCTAGTAGGGACCTGGCACTTAGGCTTCAGTAGATGCCAGTCTACACTCTCTGAGGCCCATATTGGTCGGTGTCCATCTGGTGCTTGTGGACCACTTGGCTTCCAGATTTTCCTCACCTCACGTGCCTCCCCAGGGGAACAGATGAAGTCCCCATAGTTACGATGAGACAGAACCTTTACATTCCTAAAAGTTTTCTCAGGCCTCCATAACCCCTCATCCCACTTTCAGTTCACTCACCTTCATCTATCAAGTTTGTCTAACATCTGGCCGCCAGCAACCAGCTAGGCTGAGATCTCCATGAAGGGGACATGGCTGCTAGTCAAAGGGGAAAGCCCATGTCTAAAAATTAATAAACGTGATTTAGGGTTCTCACACCCCCAACTCCAAAATACAGCCATTGGTGGGATGTGACAATCAAAAAATCAAATAGCGAAGTGGTGGTGAGAGTCCAACTGGTCACTCTTCGGATGCGGCGTTAGCAAGCAGGGAAAGCAGAGCCCAGATCAAGTTGCACTGGCACAGTACCTGGCACACAGTAGGTACCCACACACTCTCTTCCTAGCATTACTATAGATAGCTGGTAGCTTGGCTCGGCATCCCGGATGGGGTCTGGATCTAGGGTCGCAGAAAATGCAGTTGGTCAGGCGCAGTCTGCTGCGGGAGCACCTGCCCTGTCCACCAGCTGCACTGGAAGAGAGGCGTGTGGCTCCCAGCCAGACGGAGCTGAGACTGCCTCGCCTTCGCGGGGGAACTCCATTTTCCACAGGCCTGTGCGCGCGACTCCATTTCCCACAACCTCCCGTTCACTTCCGGCGTCGCGGAGGCGCCGCGGACGGCTTCCGGGTTTGGGCCTGGCACTGTGGCTGAGGCGGCGGCGGCGGCGGCGGCGGAGAGGGATACGGGCGGCGGGAGCTGGGGGACAGGCATGGACGTTTCGGGGCAGGAGACCGACTGGCGGAGCACCGCCTTCCGGCAGAAGCTGGTCAGTCAAATGTGAGTAGTGGTCGGGACAGGGGGCCGGATTGCCGGGCCTTCTTCGCGTGGCGGGCGAGGCCAGGGCCGGACCCGTGAGAGACTTAGGGCGCCGGGAGACAGAAGGCGCCGGGGACCCGCGTGGGTCCCAGGGCGCGGGGCTCCGCTATCTGTTCCCTCCGTTCCCGACGTGGACTGCTCGTTCACTTTCCTGGGGCCGAGCTCTGCAAACCAACGAACCCTGGGTTATGAATCATCGCCCTGAGCTTTCTCATTCGTCATTTGTGTGCTTTGGATAGAGACTTTGCTCCGCTTTTTGAACCTCACTGAATAAGGAAAGGGAGAGAGGCAGCCGCCTGTAGTGAGTTTAGCAGGGCTGGGTGCTTCACGGTTTCTCTTCCAGAAAAGCGCATCGATAGTGAGAGAAAGTGATGAGAGGAGGGTGGATGGAAGGTAAGATTGGGAAGGCAGTTGTTTGGGCTGGCGGGGGTGGGACGGAGGATCTAAGGGTAACAACACCCCCCGCCCCCAAGGAATGTGGACTTTGCCAAAGGATGGCAGGAAGCCTCTGTCAGGAAGCGATCATCGTTTCTGGAGGAGGGAGTGAAGAGCTGGGGTCAGGGGCCCCGCCCAAAGGGACCCCAGCCCCTTACCACCGACTA